CCTGTCCCCGCGCGCGCGGCTCCCTGCCCGGGGCATGGGGGCGGCGGCGGTGCCCCTCAGCCTGATTTCGGCCGGCGTCCCAGCGCGGTGGCCGGCGGCTCGTGCAGTGGTGGCGCGACCCCTTGACGGCGAGACGGCGTGGTGGCGCTGGTTGGCCGGTGGCGCGCCCCCGGCCCAAATCAGGGCCCGCGGGCCCCATCTGGCTTCGTCGTCATCTGTGTAGTGAGGTGGTGGAGCAGCTCAGACGGGGGGCAGCGACACCGACAGCATGCCAGCTGCGGCGCGGAGGCGGGAGTTGTCCGGGCCTCTGAGGGCCCGGCCGGGCCTATGGGGCCACGGGCCCGGTAGGCTCCCGCTTTGGCGTCCGGTCGGCTACCGTCGTGGACGGTGGAGGTGGGGCCCTCCAGTATGTTGACGGTGCTGCTGTCCTGTTCCCGGCTCTCCTTCCTCGTTGTGCAGGCCATCTTCGCGGTGCCGTGGTGAGACAGCGTGGGAAGTTTCGTGTCCGTGTGCGCAGGGTGGTGGTCGGTTTGGTGGCGAGCTCCGGAGTGCCTGAGGTGGAGGATGGGATCGGGAGAAATCCTTGTTGGCTTGGCCGACACCGACACGGTGGCGCCTGAGGGTGCCATCGGACCTTCCTGGAGGGCGTCGGGGCTACCCTTCCTCTCTCCTCACCGCGTACCGGGGGAAACCCTTGGCAGCAGCGTCGTCATCGTCACATCCCTTCTTGAAGGTGTTGATTGGTACCGGCGCTTCGGAGTCTCGGAGCTTGGGGTCGATTTCCGGTGGAAGCAGCGGTCGCGAGGCTTCGTCGTCTTTGTCGATCCGCCGTTATCGGCATTTGTTTCTTTTTTTTTTTCTCTTTCTGTTCTTTTGGGCGTGGTTGTGCTGCTTCCGCCCCAGCACCTATCGTTGGTTGCATCAGATGTTTGCTTTGTAATACAAAGCGGAGGGAAACCCTTTTTCTTATATGTAGCCAAGCTGAACGTGCTGGTTTCCCATGTATTTCTTCTTCAGAACCGCAAATAAATTTAAAAAAGCACTCATGACAGTATTAACATTTCTTGTTTCATCAAACACACACAAATCAAGCTCAGTTTATACATGGTTCATCAATCACACAAACGCCACACCACACAAGGTTGACAAATCTTGGTTGATGTACAGCCCGGAACAAACAACAGTTTTATTACAGACCACACATCTTGAATTTAATTGCAATAACGTTAAGTAAATCAAAATTTAAGCTGATGTACACCATGTCATGAGTGCTTTGGAAACTATATATTGTCATGAGTGATTTGTAAATGGAACATTCAGTAAATTAAAATTAAAAGCTTAATTTGTGTTTGGCTGATGAAACACGAAATGATATACTGTCATGGGTGCTTTGGTAATTATATCGCACTCGAAGCTTACGATTGTACTCAAGGGTTTGAGTGGATATATTCTGCATGCTCCATGTCATTTTGGACCGGTGGCTTCTTTGAACTGATTTCTGTCTGTTGGAGTCGTGATTTGTGCGAACACCCGCCGCTGGCACGCGGGTGTCTCTCTGGGCTCTGGTGCAGAGGAATTGGGTGTAAATAAATAGGCTCGTTTAAAAAAACATATGAATTTCTTTTTATTTTTTTGTAAAACTTGTGCAAGTTTGACCAAGCTTTTAGAAAAATATATTTATATCCATAATTCCAAATTTGTATCATTAGATCCATGATAAGTATTTTCATAATTTATTAACTTTTTATTGCGGATGTTGATATTTTATTCTAGAAGAATCTTGATCAAACATTCAAACGTTTGACTTTCATGAAAATTTATACACCTTGTATTCTGGAACAGAGAGAGTATACTCATTAGTTTTTTTAGTATGCTTATACTCATTAGTACTCCCTCTGCTTATACTCATTTTTTGAGGGAGTATTACATTTTTTTCAATTTTTTTGAGGGAAAAGCATTACATTTTTCATGAGTTGCATGATGAGAAGTATAAAACAAAACTGGCCCGTAGCCTGAAGCCCAGCCCAGCAGGGCAGTTGTTGAGTCCATCGATCTACTCCTCATTTCATCTCGTCTCTCACAATTCCCTCGACAACAACAAAAACCTTGGTGAGCCACCTTGGAGGTCCGCAAAGCTGCATATCAGCAATGGAGCCGCGTCGAGCTCGGGTGAGGTGGTGATTCGTCATTTTTTTCTTCGGTGGCTGCTGTGGTGGTGCCGGAGGCAGTTGACGAGCGTTGGTGTCAAGCTCCGAGATGTTCTGCTATCTTTTCAGTTTTGTCATGTCGGTCTTTACGTGATTTGTACTTTGTTCTTTATGATATGAATGAGACACGTATTACCATGCAAAAAAAAAAACAACAAAAACCTTGTCTCTCACAAAAAATACTCGTTTCTCGGCAGCGGCGGAGGTGTCCATCAGGGCAGCGAAGCGGCGGCAAGGCGGCGAGGGCCAGCCTCTATCAGCAAAGCGGCGGCTAAGGCAGAGGCAGCTCAGCGCTAGCAGCCCCCAGGCAGAGGCAAAGCGCACCGACACTCTGATCCCCAGGCAGAGGCAGAGGTAATTTCTTTCCCCCGATTTCACCTCACTCCCTGTAGATCGAGAGGCTAAGGTCATAGCATCTGAACCTCTCAGTTAGCAATTTGGTGCTGTCGCTGTGGAATTCGAATTTGGTGTTTGGTGCTTCCTTCCCATTGATTCATTTTTTTTAATCCTCTGATGAAATCCTCAATGTATATGCAAGTAGCTGGTAGTATACAACAAGTCAATAAATATATAGACCAATGTTTTTGGTGCTTTTAACATTCCTAGTGTCGACGGAACAACCATACAAATCGTCTGGCTGCCGCAACAAGTTTTATCAGACTGCAGTCAAAAGTTCTATCAAGCTTGGAACAAGACAAAACTCTCATAAGCGACAGTATTAAGAAATGTACACGGTATAAACATGACACAACTATCATAAACATGTACACGGTATAAACACGACACAACTCTCATAAGCGACCGTATTACATTTTCTTAGAGTTGCATATCCTAGCTAGTACAAATCATTCCGATTATCTGCCAAATTTAAGTGCGGGTTGCAGGAAACTTTTGACACCTTCTTCGCATTCCAATCTCTCCCAGAGTTGAGCATCATCAAACAGTAGCTCCTTCAGCTTTAGTGGCAAACTGTCCAGCTGGAAAGGAAGCCTCTTCAATGGATTACCTAGAATCACAAGCCGCTCTAGGGATGGGAATTCCATACCGTCATCCCCAATAGTTTCCAACGAGAAGTTACCAGTAAGACCGAGAAGCTTGAGGCAAGGAAATGTTTTTGTCTTGTCCTGTCCATTGCACAATTTGTCACCATGGCACCTCATAAATGCTTGCACCATGCCATCACAGCAACCTATATAAAGTTGCTCAAGGCAAGGCAAATACATAACCCAAGAGAGGTGCAATAGACGTTGGCAGAAAAACAATTCCAAACAAGTGAGCCTTGGGAATATAAAGGCCGGAGTTGCTCCCATCCACTTTATCTTTCTCAAGGATTTCATAGAAGATAAGCGGAGATTGTTGAGAGCACCAAAATGGTTGTTTGGTTCTTCCGTATCATAACTTACTGTTATTTCTTGAGTTTTGCAGTCTTCTGTGATATACAGTTCATACAAGGTCCTTTGTGCAAAGTCAGTTGATAGAATATCAGTGAATGAACCTACGTCCTGCATAGTCAAATATCTAACAGGGAGGTTAGCCGCTTCTTTTCGTAGTGACTTGAACTGAGCTAAATCCCGGACCAGAATACCAAGTGCTTTCAACTGAGGTAGGGTGCCCAACTCTCGGAATATCCACTCAGGTAGGGAACGGGTAGGTTCTGTTATGCGACTCCTCAAGTCTATCACCAGCAATGCTTTAAGGCTACACATGACCCCAATTGGTATTCTCACGCAATCACTCGACGTTAGGTACAAGAACTTGAGGTTGATGAGCTTTCCAAAGGAGTGAGGCACTTCAGTTTCCCCAAATTGATTTTCTGACAAATCAAGGTGTTCCAACTTTAGCAAGGAACATAATTCTTCCGGTATCCTGTTGAGGTTGTTTTCGCTCAAATCCAGATATGTCAGTGAACTGCAATTCTTAATTGCTTCAACAATTATGCTTTCATCCAATTCATTGTTCCGAAGGCATAAGATCCTCAGTTTTATGGGATCAAGATTAAACCTGATAGGAATTCTATTGAACATCAAGGAGATGCACTCAGCTTTGTTCGAAAGGATAATAACTTTTTTGTCTCTGCCACCTGGTGCAGCCACAATCCATTTGTCATTGTTCTCACCATAGTCACAAGATATCCATAAAGCCATATCACGAATCACATCATGCACTTTAACAAAACCATATGATTTTCTGAAGGAAGATTCTATGTCATCATCTTCCCTGACCTCTAGCAAACATGCAGCTGTAAGGTCAGCTATCAAACTATATGATTTTCTGAAGGAAGATTCTATGTCATGCTCATTCACTAGACCTAACCCCATCCAACATTGAGCAAGGTCAACTTTGCGAATCTTCTCATCCTCTGGCCACAATGCACAAGTCAAAAAACAACGTCTCAAGGTGTCGTTCCTTAAATTGTCATAACTAAACTTCAGCTTACTGAAAACATTAGTTTCCATACCCAGTTCTACTGGGTCTTTGTCATCAGCACAGCATGATTGCTGCATATATTGGATGGCAGTTTCCCATTGATACTCATCTTTCCGATACATTGCCTTTCCAATAGTTATCAAAGCTAATGGCAAGCCTTTCAGTTCCTTCATAAGTTTTCTAGCAAGAGCTTTAATATGGGGACTAGAAAGAGTTTCGGCACCAATGTTTTCTTTAAATAGCTGCCACGCCTCATGCTCCTGCAGATATGCGACTTTTAACTCTTTCTTCACCTTCATTTGGCCACAAACTTTTCTTAATCTTGTTGTTAGCACCACTTTTCTATTGAGTTTGTTTACATTTCCAAGGGGATATGGTATTCCAACATCTTCTAGATTAATTCCATCCCATAGGTCATCCAATAGTACAAGAAAGCTTTTCGTCTTCATGTACTCATATATGGTACGACTTTTAGAACCACTACTTGGCAGTTTGAGCCTTTCTATGATTTGTGACTGGACCTTTTCCACTGAGCACCCTCTGGAGGCAGTTACAAAGATAGCAAAATCAAAGGTCATACCATCCCCAAATGAGTTATTAATATTGTTGAGAAGACGTGTTTTCCCCACTCCACCTGGACCCCAAATTCCAATCATTCCCACTTTGGGATCATCCTTAATGTACCGGAGAGCATCTTGCAGGTTACTGTTCTTAATTGACATAGATGGACCAGGCATCTCTTGGACAGGAGGTGGCATTGACTCAATTGCAACAGTACTGGGACAACTACTGAGACATTGTTGAACCTCACGAAGCTTCTCAGATGCCTCCATGGTAACATCCTTCTTCAACTGCCTGCAGTCGTGAGAGATCACTTGTACATCACGAATGATGTTATCGACTTTTTGCAGCCATCTGTCCACTTCATTCGTTGGTGTTCTTTGTTGTCGCTCAACATCCACGATCTCCCGACGGACATCATTCCCCTTGGCATCTAGGTCTTTGGTTCCATTCTCGAGATTTCTCACAATCTTTTCCGCCTTCAAGGATAAATAACAGACATAAATTAAATATTCAAAACAACATTAAGAAAACTGAGTTGTGATGGAAACACATACCAAATTTAATGGGTCATCCCTCTGAAGGTTTGCTTTCCTGAGGGCATCAATTGCATCTTCCCACCGCCTTACGTCTCTTATTCCTTGCATTACCTTCCCATAACGTATCAAATCTGATGGCAAGCCTTTTAGTTCTCTTACGAGTTGCTTTGCAAGGGCCTGGATGCCGCGATCAGAATAAATATCCTGTGCACCAAGTTCTTTTGCAAATAGCTGGCGTGCTTCATCCTCTCCCAAATCAGGCACATGTATATCCCTTTCTACATCCATCAGATGACATATGGATTGTGATATTGATGTGACTACCACTTTCCTCTTCACCTGGCGAGAAACTTGCCCGGCTTCCACAACTTGCACATCTCCAAGAGGATATGGAATGCCAGCTGCTTGAAGGTCTAGCTGCACACGAAGGTCATCCACCAACAGCAGAAAACTTTTTTTCTTGAGCAGTTCAGATATCCTAGTAGCTTGAGTTGCCACATCTGGAACCGTGTCTGTACGGAGCCTGCTTACGATTTGAGCTTGTACCGACAGCTCGCTGGAGGCTGTAACAAAGATAACAAAATCAAAGGGGCATTCCCCAAGAAATGAATCGTTGATCTTCTTGAGAAGATGTGTTTTTTCATCTCTATCTGGACCCCATATTCCAATTACCCCCACTGCCTTAATGCACTTGAGAGCATTCTTGAGAGTATCCTCTCTGCTTGGCAGAAGTTGAACAGAGTGGGTGGACAACTCTACGACAGGAGGTGGAGGTGGTACTCGTGTGATATAATCGGGTTGAGGTGTGCTACTGATATATTTTCTGACGGCATCCACCTTCTCAGCCGCTTTCTTGCTGGTTTTATAGTTTCCCCAGCAATTCAGGGAGCACCCAAAAATTCTGCACCTCTGATCAAAAGACTCGCGGTTTGCCACTTCTTCAGATATGGCTTGCTCCGCCCTTTGCACCCAATCCTCTGCTTCTTCCGTTGGTATCAAGCCATTCCTTTCGCCATCTGTAATTCTGTGTTGGACACGAAGCAAGTTGCCTTTCAAAGTCTCGGTTTCGGTCCTGTGATTTCTCACGTTTGTGCGAGTGGTGAAGCAGTATGTGGCATTTGCGGAAAAGAGTGTATAGAATGGACTTATGACCGTGTTGACGGTATTTCCGAGCAAAGGACCTGGCGCTGGCGGGACAATTGGCATTGTTGGCACTTGTCTGAAGAAACAGTACTGCAAGCCAATTGTTGTGTCTCAGTAATGAATATGGCAAGAAAATAAACACCAATCAATTAACTTTATGAAAAGCATAGACTGCACGCAATGGCAGATGAAGTGCAAGCTTTTAGATGTTGAAGACTCATAAATCTTGTGTGATTATGTTTGAGATTGTACATGCTAACAGATCCCTATGAAAAACTTTTCTATATGACCGCATCAGAAAGGAGTTGTGGAAATATGTCCGATTGTTAAGAGGCTTGAACGATACTGTAAAAGATAACACTTGTTATAACAGATAAAATCGCAAGAAAGTGCTTACAGTGCCTCTTGGGTAATTGCAGGAAAACAAAACAATCTTGGTATGTATTCAGATAGGACACTGATGTTAGACTACGTTTTATTTCAGAAGTGGAGACAGATTGCAAGAAAGTGGAGACCTAACCACAGAAAGTGGAGTGGACACAAATGAAAACAGGGCCACGAGAAGATCTTGTTTGAGTTTTGTTTCTGTATTCAGATAGGGCACCGATGTTAGACGACGTTTTATTTCAGAAGTGGGGACAAATTGCATCAGCTTTCTGCACAGAAAAAAAAAAGACAGGAAAAAATCGTACTTGTGATCTAGAGTTGATACTGATTTGGCAAGTATACTTGCAGAAAGATATAGTTTTGTGATTGGGAAAACTAGGATAGCAAAGATCTATTACAAAAAAAATAGTTGAGTGAATGATGCAACAAATCGGAGGTTTGTAATTGTTACCAAGTGAGAATAAGTTGAAGAAACTGAAGGTACTGATGCTGTTTGGGCGGGATGCTCCAACTCCACCTCACAGGAAGAGGAAGAGGATGAGACTAGCTTGGGGATGAGGATGCCATTCAATTCAATTCACAATGTTGACTGGCCAGCTAACACACGCGCTTGCACCTTTTAGACCATCTCTTAGCTAACTGCACGTCGAGTCACATATTTAATATGTACACATCAGTGTGTTTATAGTTATTATACTCAAAAGAGCGCGTCTGGCGAGACTCCTGCTGGCCGCGGTGGAGGGCCTCGGCCTAATGGGGGCTGGCCGGCGACCGCAGGCAATCAACCTCGGGCTGCGCTTCCGCCCCATTATGTTGCTAGGCTGGCGCAAAACCGGACCGGTCCGACTCAGACAAACGATCCGCCCCAAGGACAGTGGGGGGATGATGGGTACGATGCGTATGGTGACGGACAGCACCGAGGATCCTCTTCTACGGGAGGAGGTCGTGGTTATGCCTGGCAAAGCGACGGGTCTGCTGAGAGACCGTTTCTCGGCCCGGCAGGTGGTTTTGTCGAGGGGGCCTCCGGCCCGGATCACCGTCAGAGAGGAGGCTTTCGTGGCCACGGTGGTGGCCGGGGTAGGGGCCGTGGGAGATTTCGCCGACCGCCCCCGCCCAGGGCTGTTGTTCCTACGGCTGCTACAGTGGAGTCTGACCCTACTTCCACTGAGCTCCCTCCACAGGCGATGGAAGTGGTGAGCGCCTTGGCCAGTGTTGAGGTTCCTGAGGCTGGGACGGTGGATGAGGCTACCGACAGGTCTGATGCCGAGAGGGCGTCCAAATATGCTCGTAAGAAGGAGAGGATGATTTGCTACCGTTGTGGTGAGAAGGGCCATTTCATTGCTGAGTGTGTGGCCCAGCTGTGTGAGTCGTGTGGCAAGCCTGCACATGACTCGGGGGACTGCCGGCTGTTGCGTGACCTGCCTCCGACGCTGAATATTTATGGTGTCTACTGTGCTGAGCTCATGTTTTTTGAGTCCCCGGCGGCGAGAGAGGTCCCGGAGGAGATCCTGAGCTTGACTACCGGGATTGTGAGAGCAACCCAGGGAGAGGTGACCGAGGCACAGATTGTGAGGAGGCTACAGGAGCTGGCACCCGGGGACTTTAGATGGGAGTTGGTGCTTATCGAGGACAGGGTTTTTAAGGTTGATTTCCCATCTGTGGATGATTTGCAGAGATTGTTGAGCTTTGGCTTGTGTAAAGTCCCCGGTACTAAGTGTATCCTGGAGTTTAACGAGTGGAAGCAGGTTGAGCCTAAGGGAAAGCCGCTTACGCAGGTCTGGTTGCGGTTTTTAGGGGCTCCTTCTAAGCCTCTGCAGGATGCTCGTGTGGTGGCCAGTATGGGCATCATGGTTGGAAAGACTGAAAAAGTGGATATGGCGTTCACACGTGCCCATGGGGTGGCCCGGCTTTTAGTAAGTGTTCTGGATATTGAGTTCGTGCCTGATAGGGTCAACTGGACCTATAGGGGAGAGGTGTTCCCGCTAGAGATCGAGTTTTAGGATACCGATTTATTTGCTGATGCGGTTAATGGCAACGATGTAGACATGCACGACAGGGATGGTAATGCGGGGGCCAAGGGGGCACCGTCATATGGGCCTACGCGAGAGGGGTCTAACGGCTCGCACCCAGCCTCTCAGTCGCCTGAGGAGGGGACCGGGGTTGCGCCCGCACCAACGGTGCCCATGACTACTCTGCGTTTTGGGTCTTTTGAGCCAGCTTCGGCACCTCCCAGGCTATGGAGTGACCGGGTAGAGTCTGGTGATTATCTTGAGCACACGCTCCCTCCGTTGGAGTTCGAGGGGGCTGCTGGATTGTTTGCTGGACGGCCGGTAAGGCCTTTGGTTGGTGCTGCGGAGAGGAGGCCGGAGGGTGTTTCTCTTCTCCTGGCGCCTCACGTGGACGCGACTCTGGTGACGGCGACTGCGGGTGTGATGGGTGGTGGAGGTGGAGGTTCGGGGCAGGTGGCCTCGTCTTCTCCCATCCCCATACCGATCCCGGTGGCGTCGGTGACGTCGGCCCCGAGGGGGTCGGCCAGTGCTGGGAGAGGGAGCCCGAGGCAGGCGGCCTCGACTCCTGCTACTCCGATGGTGGCGGTAACCACCGCGGCAGCAGTTGCGTTCGGGGGGACGCCGGGGCAGGCGGCCCTGTCTCCTCCCTCTTCACCGATGGTCAGGAGGACCGCTTCGCCCTCGCCGATGGCTCTTTCGCCTGAGCCCCCGCGGCTGGGGTGGGAGGAGGGTGCGGGCGGGCGGCCCCCGCTCTCCTCTCTTCGCCCCTACCTATGGTCGGGGTCCCTGGTGTGGGGCACCCGTCTATGGGGATTGGGAGCCCGCAGACGCCCTCTTTGGTAACCTCGGCACCACCTTTGAGGGTTTCAGTGCCAGGTGTTACTAGGGAGGAGGTTATCGCGTTTGGTGGGATCCCGGACCCTATCTCCGAGGGGAGACGGATGAGTGCTCGCATCCTCGACATCCCTGAGGTGGATGATATGCAGCAGTGGTGCGCTATGAGGGCGGCCAAGCTTCAGGAGGCTGCTTTATCTTCTGGTATGTCCGTCAACTTATCTAATTCCTTATTGCATTTTTCTAATGAGGATATTATAAATAATGCAAACCAATTAGGAGTTTCACTAGGTGCTACGGATAGTGAGATTACCAATTCGGTGAATGATCTATTAGATTTGGAGGTGGAACGTGCTTTAGAGACTATTCATAATCTTGCATCAGTTAAACCAATGAATGATGATGACATTGATGCGTTAGGGGTTAGAGTGCTTGATAATCTGTGTGCGGATCTAGCACCCCCAATAATGACTCTGAGGAAGATGATGTACCCCTAGAGAATGATGCTAGTAATTTTTGTGAACCCAGTCATGAGGACCGGGCGACAGACCTTAGTAAACCTAAGCGTAAGTGGAAGCGGAAGATCTATCCCGATTCCATTGTCCATAGAGTGCTAGGATTCGAACCACTAAAAAATTCCATGATGAATTATGAGAGGAATTTTTTGGAACAGCAGAGGTCTGAAGGACTTGGCTAAAAGAAGATTCCTAGCTGAGGCAGCTTTAGAGCAGCGGTTAGATTTTGTTGCTCTATCGGAGACGGGATGAGATAACTTTGCGCCCCAGTTTCTCTCTTCTCTTGTAGGTGGTATTGATTTCGATTGGCATTGCCTCCCTCCGCGAGGAAGATCGGGTGGTATCTTACTAGGTGTGAGATGTGATTCGCTTGAAGTCAGAAGTGTAGTGATGGGCGACTTCGCGGTGAAGTTTCGAGTTAGGTCTAGGATAGATGGTTTTAACTGGGCTTTGGTAGCGGTTTATGGTGCCGCACAACCCGAGCTTAAAGCGGAGTTTCTGGCGGACCTTGTTCGAATCTGTGGGTCAGAACAACTGCCAATTTTAGTTGGAGGTGACTTCAATATCATCAGGAGGAGAAAGGAGAAGAACAATGATAACTTTGACGGCAGATGGTCGTTCATGTTCAACACAATTATTGAGAGCTTGGATCTGAGAGAGATTGAGCTTTCTGGTAGAAAGTTCACCTGGGCTAATGCGCTGCCAAACCCAACCTATGAAAAACTTGATCGAGTTCTTGCGAGCGTGGAGTGGGAACAAAAGTTCCCTCTGGTTACGGTGCAAGCTCTTTCTAGAGGAATTTCGGATCACACCCCATTGTTCGTGGACTCAGGGGAGCCGAACCACGTGGGTAACAAGAACACCTTCTCCTTCGAGATGTCATGGTTTGAACATGAGGGGTTCTTGGACTTGATTGCCAGGGAATGGGTTAAAGGTGTTGGTGGCAATACTGCGATTGAGCGTTGGCAGAATAAGATTAGGCATCTGAGAAGCTTCTTACGGGGTTGGGCTAAGCACCTCAGTGGCGCGTATAAGATTGAAAAGGATAGACTCCTTAATCTTATACAGGCCCTGGACATACAGGCCGAATCCAATATTTTAATGCCAGCTGAGCTTCAGGGTTAAAAATGAGGCGGAGAAGAGGTTAAAAGAACTCCTCCGCAAAGAAGAATTGAAGTGGGTTTTGCATGCTAAAGTCTGCAAAGTAGTCCAGGGGGACGCGAATACTCAGTTCTTCCATTTGATAGCTAATGGCAAGCACAGAAAGAAGCGTATCTTTCAGCTTGAGCAAGACGAGGGCACTATTTTAGGGCAGGAT